TCACCTTTCTGACACCATCTGCAGGAGTGCTGGTATAATGAGCCCTATGCAGATGGGAACAAAAGCTAGAATGACTTGGAATTACTGTATCAGGGCTTGGAGGCACGCTGTGGAATTACGTAGGCTGGTGTGTGCTCATTCAGCATTTGAGATAAAAGGTGTGTATGGGTGTGTGCCTGTGTGACTCTGTGTAATGAGAGAGAGGCAGACAGAGTGTTTTTCTAAAGTATAAAATGGGCGGAGCTACCTGGTCTTAGGCAACTCCAAAAATATTTTAATCAATGACTGATATCTTTCTATATTGTAATCATCAGTTAACTAACTAAATGGGTTCATGTAATGCTTCTAAGTTGGATCTTCAAGAGTTGTGGCCTTCTGTAGGAATTTAAGCTGTTTTTGGTGAATAGGAGGCAGGATAATGTACATACAAGACGGCTCTCCAAGGAAAACTAGGACTTATGCTTTTCTTTTTATTCCAACTCTTCAGACCTTTGGCCAATAACCTAACCTCCCTGGCTACTCTAGGATTGAAATAATAGAAATAATTTGATCTCCTCAAGTTCATGTGCTCAGCCCAGTGATCTCTTCACAGTGTCCCTTCTACGTTCAAATTGTATTATACTTTTAAGATCTTTACGTGGAAGAGGAAAAACCTCAGTGGAATATTGGCACTGGCCATAACTTAATCTATCATCTTCAATCATTTCCCCTCTCCCACTGCCTCCCCGGGACCTGTGGGGGAGATCAGCATGTCTAGTTCCTAAGCTCCTCGGCCGATTTCTGTGGGTGGCCCAGAGCTCTTCCCCCAAATCTAAGCTTCCAGCCTCCAACTGGTTCACACCCCCGTTTCCTCAGCCCCAGAGCCAGTTAGCGATGCCACTCTGCATGCCCTGTAGTGTCTCTCATCTGTCTCGTTCTTTCTGTCCGCAGTACTCAGGTTTTGCCACCTTTGCCCACTGGAAGAAGTTCAAAACCAGGTGTTCCGAATGTCGATGTGTCCTCTGTAATGTAACTCTACCCAGTGCACCACCCTACTCATCCTTGCTCAGTGTTCCCTGCAGTCTGTCAAGGGCACCATAGGTTCTTCACCCTGGCACTCGGAATCCCGCAAGTTCTTGCTCCACTAACCATGTTGGAGTCTCACCTCCTTAGTTCACTTAATTGATGCTTTTCTTCAACCCAAATTGAACTACCTGCCATCGCTTGCTCATCGCACCAGCCAGGCTGCATCTGTTCTCTCCACTGAGACTGCCTCACGTGTGTCCAGGCAGGGATCGGTGGCACTTGTACGTTTGCAAATAGCCACTGCTTGGAATGAATTTGGCTGGATTCATGGTGATTAATAAATGGGTATTTCAGATGTCTTCCTGAAGCAGTGTAACAGTTGAATTTTTACTTGTAATCTTTTTTTAAAGGTGATATTGCTATTTTAAAAGTGTTTGAAGGTTAAGAATGGAGGGAAAGATATTTAAAAAAAAAAAAGAAAATTCAGCCTGGCCAGTGTGGCTCAGTTGGTTGGAGCTTCATCCCATACACCAAAAAGGTTGAGGGTTTGATCTCCAGTCAGGGCAGTGCGGGAGACAACCAATCAATGTTCCTCACATTGATGTTTCTCTCTCTCCGCCCTCCTTCTCTCCCCTCCCTTTTCCCCTTCCCTCCCTCTCTCCCTTTCTCTATCCTTCCCTCCTTTCCTCTCTCTAAGATCAATTTAAACATGAGAAAAATATTAAAAGGAAAGATATCTGAGGTATTTTAAATATCAAAGTAAAATTTTGAGACCCTGTGTTTTCAAAAACTAACTTTGGTGGTATGACAAAGGACATATTGTTGGGAAAGACAGAAATTAGATGTAAAAACTAGGTAAACTTTCTGAATGGACCCAAAGCCATCCTGTATTTCCCGTCAGACATTTGTAGAGTTATCTGTGCATAATATTAATAATGCTATTAATAATGCTTCCTCAAGTCAAGCCTCCTGTCTTAAACCCTCAAGAATTCTGGAAAGTTGCATTGGTAGCACAAACTACTCAGTAGTTGCTGTCTTCTTTCTCTAGTTCTTTCCAGATGTGAGAGCAGATAAGGCATTAACAAACATCAAAACACATCAACAGTGGGTATATTAAAATCCTGTAACCACTGCCCATTTTGAGTTTATACCATGCTCCCTGTGCTGTGCCAAGCATACACATTGTCTCTCTTCATAGTTTCAGGAAGTGGTGTTACACCTGTTGTATGGATGTGCTGAGGCTCAGACCACCCACCCTTCCAGGATCACATAGTGAGGATATTTCGATCCCTCCATGATAGACATCTTGGTCTTTTTCTGTACCTTGTGCTTGTTTCTTCACCAGAAACAGAAACTCCCTTGAGCAGTCGCTTCTCCCTGGAATGGCGTCTCCCAGATCTCTGCAGAACTGACTTCTGCGCTTAGCTAGAATTCGACCTCATCAAAGAAACCTTCATTGGTCATTCTAGCTAATGTCGCTCATTTTTCTACATTACTTTCTTTTTTTTTTTCTTAATGTTTTTTATTGATTTTTGAGGGAGAAGGGAAGGGAGAGAGACAGAGAGATAGAAACATTGATGAGAGAGAGAAGCATCAACATCGATCAGCTGCCTCCTGCACACCCCATAATGGGAATTAAGCCTGCAACCCAGGCATGTGCCCTGACTAGGAATTGAACCAGTGACCTCTTGGTGCATAGGTTGACACTCAACCACTGAGCCACACCAGCTGGGCTCTACGTTATTTTCTTCATAGTGTTTCGCTATCTGAGATGATTTACTTGTTTTTTCCTTTCCCCTAAGCTGGAGTATAAATTTCATGAGATCAAGTTCTTTGAATATCTTATACACTTTTCATATATCAAAAATGAGTGACATTAGACAGAATGACCAATGAAGGTTTCTTTGATGAGGACGAATTCTAGCTAAGCACAGAAGTCAGTTCTGCAGAGATCTGGGAGACGCCATTCCAGGGAGAAGCGACTGCTCAAGGGAGTTTCTTTTTCTGGTGAAGAAACAAGCACAAGGTACAGAAAAAGACCAAGATGTCTATCATGGAGGGATCAAAATATCCTCATATATATAATCACAGAATTTTAGAAAAGCATCTAGAACTTCATACACGTTCAACCAATGTTTACTCAAGGGATGGGTGAACGAGCAATCAGATGTCTCCAGAGCCCATGGTTCTTCTGCCCCGTGCTGCCTAGATGTTTCCTTTCTGCTCCCTGGCACACTGCAGGAGCTCTGGCTGGCCATAGAGCCCGTACAGTTGTGTATCTGGGTCCCAGACCGATTACCTTTTAAAACCAAATATTTACTCACTAAGAAAAGAAACCGCAGATCATTCTCTTTCTCATTAGCTAAGGTTATTCACTTATAGCTAAGCTTATAGTTCATACATAGTACCTAGCATGTATGATTAAAATTGAGCATTTCTAATAAATTATTTATAATTTCACCTTTTCTCATTGCATTCCTGTTAGCTGATTTTTGTAGGAGAATATTGGAGTGTACATAAAATAGACATTATTCCTGGCCAATTTCTGTTTTTTTTAAAGCAGCTGACCTGTTAAACTACCTGGTCTGTCTAAAAAATTCGTGAATTCGTATCTCCATGTACAAAATAACAGTCCTGGGAGGGTGAATTCTTTCATCCCTCCACCCCAAACTACATTTTTCTTCAGTGGTTTCAGATTGGCTTTTTCAGAAGAGTAACTTTTCTTTGTCCTGGTGGAATCTGAGATGACTTTGTCACTAGCATGCTGACCTCTGCTGTTCTCACTACCCCCTGTACCTAGCAATAGCTTGCTGATTAACTCCTAAGTTAGAGAAAGGTGGCCTGGGAAGGAATTTTAAGTACATTTCTCGGTGTTCTGTGAAGTTACATGATCTCAGCTGAGTTAATTAGCTTTGTTAAAATTATATGAAGGGGTCCATATGATTCTAAACTATAGAAGAAGCAAAAACAATTTGAAAGCAACCTGCCCTTTACCTTGATCCCTACCTTCTCTGAAAACCAGGGTGCCGCGGCATGAACAGCATAATGGTTGACGAGCAGAATATTAAGGCGTTCTAAATATCACTGGTTGGTTTAATAAAATTAATTAGCCTGCCACGGAGAAAATTTACTAGCGTGCTGGTTAATTTCACAATGTAAAGTCAGGGAAGGGAGGTGGGGTTGAGGGAACAAGCCTTATTAGTTTTGAATAATTATTTAAAGATGTGGAGCAGCCTGTCAAACACTTTGATTGCCAAATCCATTAAGGCTTTAAATTCAATGTTTGTACCCTGGTAAAGAAGGGAAGGAATCTCTCTAGAAGAAATCATAAGCATAGTAGTTAACAGCTGAGTGACTTATTTAAGATACAGAACAGCACGCAGAATCCTAATAAAACCAAGGGAACGAGAATTCGCCTTAAGACTGAACTCTTGGGAGGTTTCCATAATCTTAATTCGCCATTGATGCAATTATTGCTTTTCCTTGTCTTTTTAATCCGAACAAGATGTTTGCAGTGGCCATGGAAAGGTGCCTGAAATCACATGCCTGAATTCGTTTAATTTGCCAACATTGTCTTTCTTTCGCTCTTTCTTCCTGGTAATGGGCAAGAGTCAGTTCTGGTGCATTACGTACTAAATCTCTTCAATTACCAGCCGGGAAGAAAGATTTAAAATTGTGTGCTTCAAACCAACAGACGATTTAGTTGTAAAGCACACACACTTCTCCTGTGGAGCCTAAATTAAACCGCAGAAAGGTCGCCGGGCTGGAGGGGCTGAGCCAGGCGGGCCGAGGCGCAGGCCCGCGGTGGCCGCTGACCGTCGCGGGGTCTCTCGCGGGCCCTCGTGCAACAGGAAAGCACAGGAACACGCTAAGAGACACAACTTGTGTGAGGAGGTGCAGCACTGTATTGCTTGAGAGCTAGACGTGGACTAAATGTTAGCAGGGGGGAATCTGATCAAAACTTTCACCTTTTTCTCTTTCTGGGCGCTCGGCAGCCATTTTCAACGTGGATGACTCGGTGGTTGATCTGGAGACCCTGGCGGCCTTATATGAAAACGTGAGTATCAAAGAATAGATGAGTGGATAAAAAAGCAGTGGTGCATATACACAACGGAACACTAAGAGCTGTGAGAAGGAGAGATCTCTTATCCTCTGAGACGACATGGAGGGACCTGGAGAGCATTATGCTAAGTGAAATATGCCAATCAGAGAAAGACAGATATCACATGATCTCACTTATTTGTGGAATATAATGAACAAAATAAGGTGAAGAACAAAATAGACCCAGAGACATGGAAGTAGGTTACAGACTGACAAACCTCAGAAGAGGTGGGCAGGGAGGAGGGAAGGCATAAACCACAGAACTTACATGCATGTATGTGTAACCAATGGACATGGACAATAGTGCTGGGGGGGGGGGGTGTCAGTGGGGAAAAAATGGAGAAACATCTATAACAAAAATAAATTAATAAAAATTGCAACAACAACAACAACAAAGACAGAGCCAGAGTCTCCAGATTTCCATGTCTCTTTTAACTAAAAAAAAAATGTTTGGGTCTGAAAAAAAAATGGTTACATGTGACTCCTTCCTCCTGAAAATCACGGAGCCATTCCTTCCCATTCTTTGGCTGTAAGCTTTTGGTGCAGCACGGATGAGGTTCAGGCCCAGAAATGCAAGCTCAAATAAGAGCAGACCTGGGAAAAGCACTAGGTTCCTCCCCCCACTGTGGTATCTGAATTAGTAGATCCCTTGGCACACCTGCGAGGGAGGGCGGTTCACGTTGGAGACGCTTCCATGCCACGGAACGCAGCCCCACAGCTTGCTCTCAGAGTTACTGAAGGTAGGCTGCAGACTTAATGTTGGTGTGCACCAGTGTCTCCCCCTGAGGAATGGAAACGATTACTTTTAGCCCAAATGAGCTGACGGTGTTAACGGTATAGGATGGCGGGGGTGTGTCCCGGATACGGCGTCAGACAGGCCCACCTCCATCATTGACTGCTGAATGACTTTGGGCCAGTTAAACTTCATAAGCCTGTCTGCTTATCAGTACAGTGGGAATTCTAATGGGCTCTACCTGGTTTTGTTTTTGTTTTTGTTTTTTGAGTATTCAAAGAGAATTCCATATATGTAGCAGTAGCAATGCCTTTTAAAAATAAACAGCACTATACCCATAGACAGTCTTATATTTGGGTTATGTGTGGAAATAACAAGCACAATTACAGGCTCTCCTGACAATTCCCTACATGTTTTTACATCCTTTATATCTGGAGTTGTCTAGTACTGCTGGGTGGGAACTTCTCCCATTTCTATCAGTAGGGGTTTCAGTAAAAGACTAGAAGGTGCGCAGGTGCCAGGCCCTCTGGAGCTGACTGCGTTTGTTGAGTGCCCGGAGGGCAGTGTGGTGCTGTAGGAGAAAGAGAGGTTCCGAGTCAGGCCCTCTACCAGGTATGGTGTAAGCCTCGGTGCAGTCGTCTGCGTCATGAGGACACAATAATTGATGGAGGACTTTATAAAAGGCAAAGTGCCTTCTGGATGCTTTTTGCTGTTGCCATGGGCTCAGGACTGTGCCCACAGTCAGTACTAGTTAGCTCCCAGCGCAGGTGAGCCACATACAGCCGAAATAGCAGGACAAGTTGAGAAAGGATGCAACTAAATGCCAAAATAAGTAGTCCAGGCAAGGAATGCTTACAAAATGTAGACAAAGAGAAGATGGTAACCAGGAATAAAGTCAGGAGCCTACATAAGTTAGGCGGGCTGTTGAGGGTCAGAAAATAAGTGCGAAGGACAACTTGACCCTTACCTGCTAACAGACAGAGAGGTTTCAAAGGCAGCAACCCAATATCCTGGCTTCTGTATCCAGCCAATGTACTTGTTATGACCATTTGTATTAGCCAGGAATTCCCAAACATTAGCATGCACCAGAATCACTTGGGGGTGGGGGGGCTTGCTGGGTCCTCCACCTGGGGTTTCTTGTCTGGGGTAGGGACAACATTTTGCATTTCTAACTAGTGACAGGTGATACTGATGCTGCTGGTCTAGAGACCACACGTTGAGACACATTGCTTTGGGCCTGCAGAATTTTTAAAACATGCAATACCTGACTATTTAGTCAGGGGCACTGACCTCTTTTCCCAGATTGTCAAATAAAAAATTTAAAAAATGACGACGGACACAACAATAGCTCTCCATTGTGAATGAATCAAAAGTATAGCTATAATTTTTTGTCAGATTGGCAAAAAAATATATTTTTTGTTGTACTGCAGAATTTTAGTAATTGATTTACGTGTGCCTTGAGATGAAAAAGGTTGAAAATTATGACTTTAGACCAGAGATGGGGAACGTCCAACCCGCAGGCCATATAAGGCCCATGAAATCAATACCAGCTAACATCACACGCCTCACCAAATTAACCTGACCAAATACAGCAGGCTCATTTTGAAGCTGATAATTTTGTATGGCCCGTGAATGATGTTATAAATATCCAAATGGCCCTTGGCAGAAAAAAAAGTTTCCCCACCACTACACAGATTCTCATCGCTCGTTTTTTTAAATGTTTTGTTTTGTTTCTCTTTGAACACAGAGAGCCCAAGAGGATGAACTGGTTAAAATAAGGAAGTATTATGAGACATCCAAAGAAGAAGACTTGAAGTTGCTGGATAAACCTGAGCAGTAAGGATGCTTGAACCCTTTTCTGCTGGGCCACAAGCGTAGCCTCTGTCTCCCCGCCTCCCAGGCCTGAGTAATCGCCTCTGTCTGTACCGGGCAGCGGGCTAAGTCTCCGCTCCACCATTCCTGTGACCTGTTGCGTGTAGCAGATGACACGGCTGCTGGGAAAAGCAGCTGGGAGCTTTGTGCTGCTGGATAGAGTATTTCTCAACCCCTCTTCCCATCCCTTGTAACTCCCCTTTCTTGTTCTAGCAATTTATTAATTCCTCCTAGACTAAACATTCTGGCCAAAAGGATAACTGAGGAAGGAAGAAGTCGTTGCCCTGTTTAAGGTTCTGCTGATGCAGTGAAATAGATATGTCAGAGCACAGCACTGAAATTGGTTTTCCTGCGTCATGTCCAGTAACTGTGGCCGGGATGGGCCAGCTTTCCCCTAGATTTCTCCACCTGCTCTGCCCAATTTAGCTGTGACTTTTCCATCTTCTCTCGGTGTGCGCTCTTCTCTGCATTCACCGTCTAGAGTTGTTTGCTCTATAGCTGCGGGTGTCGTTCCGTGCCCTTTGAAAATCTGGAATGCTAATGTGTAGCTGAGTGGCCCTTGTCCTTGGCTGGGTTCTTAGATAAGCGTCTGCGGCTCTGCAGCCCCAGGCCCCGCCCAGCACTCTGGGTGAGTGTGGAATGGGTCCGAGCGGACAGCGGGCCCCTTTGCCTGTGGCTGTCCCAAGTGCTTTGTGCCCATTCAGGCCACACCTCTCCGCCTGGAGATGAGGTGAGGGTAGGAAACAGAGAGAAAATTGAATGGTCGAGTTTAGGGTAACAAGTCAGCCCCGGAGACATTTGAGGTTTCATGGCTTGTACAGAAACCTTCCCGCCCTGCCCTTGGGTCCTCTAGAGTGTACCTGTTCCTTAGACACCTGGGCATCCATGGAAATCCTCTCTAAATGGTTGGGGGGGGGGGGTGTCTCTAGGTTACTCGGTTACTGACAAACCTTCATGATAATGTTGGGAACCTTAGGTGAAGGAACAGCCCTCCCCCACAGTTAGTCCATGAAGCCCAGGAATCTAGTGAATGAGGGCAAATGGGGTTCCACTGCCCTTCTGTCCCGCTAGCTGGAGCCATCCTCCTACCAGCCCCCACCCCTGCTGGACTCCGTGGTCCACTCCCAAGTCATGCCTCCCAATACACTAGATTAATCCCCACTGACGGGCTGATCACTGCAAAGCAGGTGACTAATAATGGGATATTTAGACTCTGACAAGGCCATGTGGAGACCTTTTGAAGACTGTCTTAGTCAGTTTAGGCTGCTATTGCAAAATACTCTAAACTGGTTGGATGATGAGCAACAGGAATTTATTTCTCATCGTTCTCGGGGCTGGAAGTCTAAGATCAGGGTGCCAGGGTGGTCGGGTTCTGGTGGGGTGTCTTTTCTAGGTTGCAGACTGCTGACTTCTCTTTGTACCCTCACATGGCCAGGAGCAAAGAGGGAGGGAGCTCTTGTGCGTCTTCTCCTAAGGGCACTAATCCCACTTATGAGCTTCCACCCTCGTGACCTGATTGCCTCTCATAGGCCCTGCCTCCCAGTACCACCACGTAGTGGTGAGGGTCTCAGTACCTGCACTGGGGGCGCGGCACACACATTCAGTCCTTCACAGGACAGTCGGCATGTCAAGCACTCGGGTAGTGCTAACTATGTCACGCTGAGCCATGACACTCTGAGCCCAGAGTTGGCGAACTTGTCCTGTAGAGAACCAGAGAGTAAGAATTTCAGGCTCTCTGGGCCACACGATCTGTTGGAACAACCCAAGTCTGCTGTCACAGGGCAAAAACAACCACAGACAAGTGGGTGTGACTGTGTCTCAATACAGTTTTACTTATGGACACTGAAATTTGAATTTTATTTTACATGTCATGAAATATTATCCTTCTGCTGATTTTCTTCAACCATTTAAAACTGTTAAAGCCGTTCTTAGTTGAGGGGCCATGCGGAACAGGTGCTGGGCGGACTTTGGCCCGTGGGCTCGTTTGCAACACCTGCTCTGCGCTGTGGGCGTGGCCGGCCCAGGGAAATGAACAGTGGTTTTCTGCTACTGGGATGTTTCCCTTTTCCTCCGGTGTTCATGCCTTTCTACCATTATTTTTCAAGGTTCATTGGCAGGACACAAAATAATGGTGGCAGGTAATTAACATATAACTTTCTTTTAAGATTTTTTTTTTTTGATTGATTTTTAGAGAGAAGAAGGGAGAGAAATATTGATGTGAGAGTGTAACATTGATTAGTTGCCTCCTGCATGGCCCCCCACCGGGTTTTAAGCCCACAACCTGGGCATGTACCCTGACTGGGAATGGAACTGGCAACCCCTCAGTGCCCAGGATGATGTCCAACCAACTGAGCCACACTGGCCGGGGCTACATATAACATTATTCCTGCTGTCTCTACAATGATCTGGCTAGAAGCCCATTTCTAAAGTTTGTAAATAGTCATTGTAACAGCTTCCTGAACATGCTAACGTGTGACTGACAGCAAAGAGGCCCGTGTGTTGTCCTGGGGAGGCGATGGCCGGGGCTCAGTTGCCAGAGAGAAGACACAGAGGGATGGGGACTTTAGGCCGGAGAGAATTCTACCTTGGCTTTCCATCTCCTGCACAGTACAGCATTTGTTTGATCTATGCCAGAGTCTGGCAACTTATTTGCCATTAGCTCCAGGTTAGTTGACTATACACATGTTTTACATATTGGAAAATATGAAGTTTCGGCATCACAATTTCCTAAAAACCCTGTGGTGCCCAGTCTTATAAATCATAGCATGGCGAGGCTGGCCTCATTACTCACCTCATCAGCTTCCTTGCACCCCAGTGCCAGGTTTAGAAAGCCATTTCCCATAAAGGTGTCATCCGCCCGGGACCAGGCTGTCTGAGAGCCCCTCCCTTCGGAGATGGTCCTCAGCTCTTTACGCTCTGCCTCGGGATGGTGGTGAAGTGAGGTGACGTGAGACTCTATTGGGTTTGATTAGGCTTTTTGTTACCTAGAGTGAAGACACCATATCCCGCCTGTTGAGAAGGCTCCACGGGGGCCCACAGCTGCCTGGGGGCTCCCACAGGGAGGACACATTGACCTCTAGAACAAGGCTCTGTGAGCGTAGTCCTCTGTGGAAGAACACAGGTTACAACCGGAAATGATGTTGCGTACACTGTCCCTGTGTGCGCACACACCTGAGACAACACCGTTCGGGTGTTTGGGCATGATAAAGCAAGGGTTAGTCCCTCAGAACCAGGGGCCCGGTTGCACCCTTCCTGCTGAGCCGTGGGTGAATAACCCACACAGTGTGAGCAGAGGCCCGCTCTCCTCTGTACAGGCTGAAACTGCAGCCCGTCCTGAGAAAAGATCCCTAGCTGTGGCTGCTTGTATGGGGGTGTTTAGTCCTGTCTATTACTGGCCCTGGGGTATAAAGTTAGACTAGTCCAAAGGAAATCCGTCTATAAATATCATTAAGCACCAAGGCCCAAAGTCCCAAAACAAGAGCTCTTATGCATAGCGAATAAAACACATTTGGGGGAGAAGATGTTTATCAGACGCTTGCTTCATAGCCTTTGAGGTTCCTTAGACTTCTGATATTTTCCCAGATAAATGGGAAAGGAGATGATGTTCTTCCCGGAGGCTTTGCAGGGCTATTTTTGGACAGAATGTGACATCCAATTGTTTTTGTTGTTTCAAATTTGTTTCTCCATGATATCATATCTTCACATTCCACCAGGTGTCCGAGTCAAAAACCTACATGTCATCCTGGACACTGTCAGAACCCTTTGAGAAGGGTCGGTTACTCTGGTTCTTGCTGCCTGAGCAGCTTTGTCCTTCGCTTGCCCCTCCGTCCACACTGCGGTCCTTGCACCTTCCCTCTCAGAATATCGCAATTGGGGTTGTGTCGGTCTCCCAGCCTCAAATCTGCTGTCCCCTCTAATCAATCGGCCAAGCCATGGCCACGGTGATTTCCCAGAACCGAATGCTGAAAGGATCCCTCCTCTGTTGGAAACCCTTCATTCATTTAGAAAAAGCTGAAGCTTTTTAAAACACCAAGCCCCACTTTAGCATCTGACTCCTGTGCACCTGCCCTGCAGATGCCGTTCAGGCCGCCGGGCCGCCGAGGCCCTGCCTGGCAGTTTCCCACGGTGACCTGCAGCACCAGAGAGCTCCCGGCACCTTGCGGACGTGGTCCCTCCAGGGCTCCGACTTCAGGCCCTGCGTGTGGCTTCTGTAGCTCCCACTACAGGCCCCATCGCTGATTGCACGGGACACACTCCACAGTAATGATCGATTTATTTCTCAGGTTATCAAGAAGGAACCGTGTACAAGTGAAATCGTGTCCTCAGGTCTTAGCACGGGGCCGGTCATACTGTAAATGCTTCATACATGTCTGACTACCCAGCATCAATCTCGGTGACAGATGATGCTGTGGTATTAACTTGCCAGGGCACATTCTCTCCAGTTCTATCCAAAAACCATGTTGAATTCCTGAACTCCCCTCCTCCTCCGACTCCGGACCTGTTCCAGACCCTTCTCCAAGCACAGGACATGGGCTCTCAGCTTCTGCCAGCCTTCCTGGCGCAAGCCCCGGTCCCGGGAGCCTTAAGCCGAGAGAGCAGCTCTGTTTGCTCTTTCCTGGGTAACGTAAGTTGTGAGCCTCTGGGCCCATCTCCTTGTGTTGCTTCTGGACCTCCTGTCATGAGACCGGTGATAAGTAAGCGTCCGTCCAGCAATGCCTTCTTTGTACCCGTGTCCTTGTTGAGCCGCTCATGCTCCCACCCAGTCTCTGTAGATGCTTCACGCCTGTGCTCAAACTCTAGGAAGTGCGCGTATCCTGGGGCTCCGGGCCCTGCTTGGGGAGCAGAGTCTCAGGTCACATCTGGAAAAGGAGGCGTGCAGGGCACCCCCTTGAGGTGGCCCTCAGCAGCATCTGAGTAAAGAAACTCCCCAAGACTCACAGCAGGACCCAGTGCCCCTGTCCCACGAGCTTTTACTGCTCATATTTGTGAAGACAGGAGATGCCCCAGATTCGAGTCGTAAATGAATCAATGTTTGAATATTAATTTTATGAAGAAACAATTTACATAAAAATGTAATTTTTTCCATCTTATTGTAATTCAGAATTCCTATGGGTTTCTGCTTTTATATCCCATAACATGGTTTTCATAATAATCTGCTACAGAATTTTAAAACATAGGTGTGGTTTCTTTATGGATATTCTTTGCTTCATCTCAGTGTCATTAAAAAAATAAGAAGAGCCCTGGCTGGCGTGGCTCCCTTAGCTGGGTGTCGTCCCATACACAGAGACGTCGCCGGTTCTATTCCCCAGGTTGTGGGCTCAATTCCCAGTGCGGGGGGCAGCCTCCAGTCAGTGTCTCACGGTCACATCGAGGTTTCTCTGTTCCGCTTCCCTTCCTGTCTTTCTAAAATTCAATTTTTTTAAAAAAAAATCTTTTTTTAAAAGAATAGTTGGCTTAGAATATTAAAGGGAGGGAAGAAATCCATTTAAGAAATAAAATTGAAAAGAGTATATCACCCATTTGTGGGATAAATAAGTAAAACAGCTGATAATTAGAATATTATGAACACCCAGAGTTCCCCAAAATAAAGCAAAAGAGACATAGAATGTAAGCGAAGGAAATTTCTGTGGGTATGGAAAGGAGGAGGCCCCCGCTTTGCTCCTCTGTAAAAGCATTCTTGGGGAGAGATTGCAAAATGTCAAAGTAATGATGTATGAGTTGACTGAGGATTTCAGAAATATCAGGTTAATAATCATTTCAACCCCAAAATGAATTTAATTGCTGCTCGTGGATTCTCTCCTCTTCTGCATTTGTGTCCAACTCTCTCCACCCGTTTTCGTTTTATACCCCTTCCGCTGGTGGTTGGCCTGCACAGTAGGTAGCTCTTCCAACTTAATTTTGCAAAGGGCACTGGTGCCCAGCTGCTCAGACAGTGAGCTTTTGTGTTAGGTGAGCACTCACCTTTCACTTTTGAGATCTGTCTTGCCATAGATTTTAAGAAGCTTTAGGTTGTGTCCACTAAATGAGTGCTTGCTTTGTTCCAAGCACGGAGCTCTGAGCTCTGTTTATGCAGGTAAGTTGATGTGGAAAAGTAAATATCGGTCGACTAAGGACATCATCGACTATTATCTAAGTCACTGAGCAAAAAAATAGTAGTAATCTCACTTCAGTAAGAGACTTTTTATCACTTGTCTACAGACGTCTACCTCTAGTCCCCACTTTACTCAGCCTGTGTAAATATGTCCTTAAAGAATGCTGCATTACACAGAGAGTGGGTTGTGTATTTTTTCTCATGCACCTTAAAGGTTAAGACTTTTCATTTGGGTTTAGTCTCCTATTTGGGTAGCAGGAGGTAGATAGCTTGTCATTCAGTATAATTGCATTAACTTTCTGTACCTAAAGTAATTTATACACCGTGTGTTTATTTACTATCATAGAAACCCGTAGAAAATAGCTTTGTGGTCAACAGAGGAACACATCCCCTTGGAGATGCTTGAGTCAGCCTGATACCTTTTATAACTGTGAAATGAATTGTCAGATAAGGAATGCTCTCACGGTGGATCTTTTTTTTTTTTTTTTCTCCTCACCCGAGGATATTTTTCCATTTTTTTTTACAGTTAGAGTGGGAGGGAGAGAGAGAGAGAAACATCGATGTGAAGGGACACATCGAGTGGCTGCCACCCGCACGACCACCAGGGCCGGGGACAAACTGCAACCGAAGTACATGCCCTTAGCGGGAACCGAACCCGGGTCTCTCCGGACCGCAGGCCGACGCTCTAACCGCTGAGCCAAACTGGCCAGGGCTCACGGTGGATCTTTTTCAGCTGTCTTTTTACTTTGCTTGTGACTGTTATCTGAAGCTAAATGACTCCTCTTTACTTTTCACAGGTTTTTGCACGAGTTAGCCCAGATCCCTAATTTCGCTGAACGTGCCCAATGCATCATCTTCAGGTCTGTCTTCTCCGAAGGCATCACCTCCTTGCATCGAAAGGTCGAGATCATCACACGAGCCTCTAAGGTATGTTTGCTGTCAACTGTAAAAAGACAGCTTTGTCCTTATTAGGGGTAAAGGGGGAAGTTGGGAGTGGGCGAGATCAAGTCGAGTCCCTTTGCCAAAACCTTTTGGATTTAAGGTTGTATATTTTTCTAAGTATAACTGTGATGATTATCCTGCCTAAGTGTGAGTATGTGTGAACTTGCAGAGGAGGTAGGGGAGAGTCAGAGGGAGGGAGAAAAGGAAAGGGAAAAAATGACATTTTTATAGATTTCTTCTCAAATACTCCAAGAGCCTTCTGATGCACATGCTGGCCATTGAAAACCAACCCAAATAGCATAGTTTGTTTTTCACTCCACGGTCTGGGTTGCAAAAGAGGTTTTGCCTCAGACCCATGAATGTGATCATCTGAAATGTGCTACACAATGAAATAAAAATATCCTAGAGATTTGATAAAGGAAATAAATGATTATGATATTGAAAGATGAGTAGCAAATAAATTTTTGTTGGCTTTACCACACTGGTATTCATTATAAAGTTAAATTCTAGCACCTTGTTTTTTCTCACAAGGATTCACGCCCAGAGGAACAGTCTCCATGAATACTGTAGTATTTCGTTGCTTATCTGAAGGCATGATCTTTTTCTTTCCAAAATATAAAACATTTCAATGAGGAAAGCATAAATATTACCAAAGTGTAATATATCCCCTCTAATAGCACCCTAAAAGTCAGGAGCAGAAGTCGGCCTGGAGTTGCATTTGGCTTTCTATTCCCGAAAGTAAAAGAAAATAAGCCCAGCTAAGACTAGAAAAGAAAAAACTTTCAAAATCCATTTGAAAGTTTGCACTCAAAGCGAAAATAGAGGGGTTGGGGGCCTTGAAGAAAACCCTAAACAGCTTGAAATTATAAAAGTAAATAGACATATCAGCAAACAGTACACATAACCTCTGGCCTTGAACTCCATGATTGTAGTTCACCTCTGAGGATTAGATCCACGAATAGGAAGAACAGACTCGCTGTTATAACTACTCTACACTTAGCACTGGCTGGTTTGGCTCAGCGGTTGGAGCATCAGCCCGCAGACCAGAGAGTCTAGGGTTCAGTTCCCGCTAGGGGCACGTACCAAAAAGTAAAAAAATAAAATAAAATAACTACCCTACACTTAATTGTACTGTTTACTAGATAAGAGTCCAAAAAAACAGATTCTCCAGTGTTAAGCCCCTTTCTGCATACAAGTCATAGGACGTGAAGCCCCACTATAACAACTCTCCTTTTTCCACTTAGAAATATGTTCAAAGTAGTATTTACAAAATAAAACTGGCTCAGATGGAAATATAAATACTAAGATTTAACCCTCAATGTTAAAACCAGTGTGTAATTCATTGAAAGGATAGAAAATGATGACTCCCCATGACACTTATGGCTTACGTGTGTTTTCTGTTTTGCTAACTGTTGACCCGGCTGGTAACATGCCACCACACAGCCTACTGGGTGCCCAGCAAACATTTGTTGTTGAATGAACACAGGTGTATTTGGAGTTCAGCTGCGTTATAATTGGTGTTCGCCATCACAGGCCCTGCTGCACATGAAGAGTGTGAAGGATATCTTAGCTCTCATTCTGGCTTTTGGAAATTACATGAATGGAGGAAACAGGACTCGGGGACAAGCAGATGGATATAGCTTAGAAATTCTGCCCAAACTCAAGGACGTCAAAAGCCGGGTATTTATTTGTTTCATAATGAATGTCTATGACCTGCCATTATTTTCCTTCTGTACCTTTAACTTCAAAACAGAAAAGGCATTTCTGATTGTTCCATTTATCGCTGTCCTCCCCCTAACAGTATGTTTTTCCTTTGCTTTCCTTTGACCTTTGAATAAAGATAGGTTTTTTTAATATTTGATCTTATTTTGATACAAAGTTCCCAATATCTGTTTGCTCTAAAATATACAGTTGTTGAACTGCAGGGAGAAAAATAAAACAGATAGAATATGGTATTAGCCATAGCACAAGGCTTGAACGTGCTGTTGGCCACTTGTCACTTACTCATTCCTGCATACGGAGCGATGGTGGATCACACCAGCTGAGCCGAGCAAATGAATTCTTCTTCTGTGCACAATTGGGCTGGACATCTACTGTCCAGCTCCCTGAGCCTGATTATCATTTGGCTCCACACCCCTGCAGAGCCCCCTCTTTGGAAACCACCAGCCCGTACCTGGGCATCCGCTGGGGGGCCGCAGGAGTGGAGGCGGAGGAAACACAGAGGCAAATTAGAATGAGACTCATGTGAAGAGACTCAAAGGCAGCTTGTGGGAGGGCCCGCCCACTCCTGGCCTCCCAGGGTCATAAAGTGGCATGGCATTCCTTTAAAACTGTCCTGATTGTTTTCACACCATTAAGGACACACATCTTTGAAAAGGTGGGAAGGGAGAGGTGGTTTTCTGCTCTAGTCCCTGGTTCCCTTTAGCACTCTCTGCCCCTCCCCCCTCCCCCCCCTTTGGCTTTATGCCAGGAACTATAGAGACAGTGTTTCGTTTATTTTGTTTGTTTGTTTTAGCCATTACCTCCGAGGTCATATGGATTGTTTTTGGTTGTTGTTTTTCTTTGTTGTTTTTTTTACCCCACAAAGAGTAGTGTCGCGTCATTTCTTTGTATAGATGCCATAAAAAAAAGAAAAATGGATGGGACAAGGAGGAGAGAGGGAAGTCTCCTCAATCTCTACCAGAACTAGGAGCAGGTATCACAAATGAAAGGGATTAAGGTCACAAACTGAGATTTTGGTTCTTGATGACATAACACGGCAGAGTCTCATGGGAACGATTTTCATGTAAGCCTCTCTTTTAAACCTAGGATACCGGGATTAATCTGGTGGACTATGTCGTGAAATATTACCTGCGCTACTACGATCAGGTAAGAAATGGCATGATGTGGAAAACCTCACTCATGGGGTTTCAACTCCTACACGTTGTTGGCATTCAGAAGTCGGACGGTGGATGGATGGATGAATGGATGGATTTCAAGTCCAACTGAGAATTTGAGAACGAGCCAGCCTCCTTGGTTTGCAGATGGAAACACTGAAGCCAAGAGAGTTTAGGTGACTCTTGTGAAGAGAAGCATTACTCAGGGCACACATCTTCCGATTCTGACCACTGCATGACACAGGGGGCCCTGTGACCTCAGGCCCCCTGCCCAGACCAGAAGGGCCTTTGTGAAGCCTGGATCCATTCAGTGATCAGTTATACTTGAAATGAAATTCTGGGATGCAGACCCAAATATGGGAATTCATATTCTGTAATACCCAATCCATTATCGGTCATGTTCGCCTGTGAGCAAGTTGAGGGTGTGGAATCTGAAATCCCTCCTCTTGGCTTAAATTACATTTGCAATTAGAGATACATTTTTCTATGAGAATCTACCTGAGCACGATTTTCTGTATTTTATGCCTTCTCGTTAAACTGAGAACAAGGAGTCCTAACTTCGAGAAGAAAGAGGTACTGTTGTAAGTTGTTGAGAAATCTAGCAATCAATATGAATGGAAAATGTCAGGACTCCTGCTTGCCTATCCCTGTAAGCAGAGTTTTTCCCAGGTAGTGAGGGAAGAAAAGTAGAGGTTCCGTAGCCTTATTTTGAAAAGACCCACAGTTTTGCCTGGTCGGTGTGGCTCAGACTGTCCTCACATAGACTGAGAAGTCCCGGTTCGATTCCCAGTCAGGGCACATGCCTGGGTTGTAGGCTCCATCCCCAGTAGGGGGCGTGTGGGAGGCAGCCCACTGATGTTTCTTGCTCACATCTATGTTTCTGTCTCCCTCTCCCTTCCTCTCGCTCTAAAAAATCAATAAAGACATATTTTAAAAGGCCCACAGTTTCATCCAGAAGACAAGCTGAGCACTGATGAGGTTTATAGTTACCTCTCCGACCCTCTTGGTGGCTTTATCTAACTGTTCTCAATTTATCTACAGTCAGGGTTCTCACCCGCCTCTCATCTTCTCCCCTGTTTCTATTAAGGATATTATAAGTTTTGGTCACTTAGACATGAAATTGTGCTTCTCTTCTGTTGATCTCTGTCCTTCAGTTCAAATGGTTTCATGTATTCTTCTCTGTTTTTCGGTTTTTTTGTGTGTGTGTTTTTAAATCCCAACTGACCCCAGCTCATTCAGGCTTTAAGATAAATCAACTAGGGAATTTCAATAGCTCCCCAACTGGCCTCCCCACCTCTAGTTACTCCCCTTCTAGTCCCTCCCACAGCCTGTGGCCTGATTGCATTTCATAGTTCTGATCATTTCACATCACCTTTTTCACTCAAAACCGAAATGGCTCCCCCTTGTCAAGTGAATTAAGACTCTATCCAACTTGATTCCAGTCTTTTACAACCAGACTTTTATTACTTTCCCTCTACACACTTTCTGTGATTCAACCCAAGACTTGACGTTTTCCAAACACACCCTGTGCTTTCTAACTGTGTGTTTTTACATCTGATGTGCTCCCTAATTGGAACTATCCTATTCACTAGCCTTTTTACAAAACCTCTCTTTTCTTTTATGAATAATTAAAAGACCTTTTGGGGAAAAGCTTCCATTAACTTAACCGTGTGTGTGTGTGTGTGTGTGTGTGTGTGTGTGTGTGTGTAATGAGCTCTTTACAATCAACAAGAAAAAGTCAACTTGTCCCTTCTCATTAAAAATTTTCAAAAAGTGACAAAAGAGACAGCAGGTAACTTCAGAAAACAAATAGAGGACATACATTGCCAACTAGATATATAGAATTAGCAATCTAGACTGATCCAACCTTTCTCAGACCTGTCTTGTATGGTTGACCGAGTTCTTCTCTGTTTAAGATCTGTGGGTCAAATGAGACCCTTACCTAGTCTGCCTGGGATTCACCACATTCTATGCCATGGGCTTGCTGAGCTATTTGCCCGGGGAGCCACGCCAGCTGATAGGGGACCCCTTTTCCTAATTCATGCAGATGCGCTGTATGGGAGAGTGAGGCTTTGACTTTTCCGTGTCTAAAGCCCTAGAAATATCATACACATTTCTAGTGATTTCTATCCTAACGAAAAAATCACATGTATCACTATTTTATTTAAAATAACTTGTAATAGAAAAATATTGCAGAATTTTTGATAGGCATCCAAAGGTAGGAACTAAGGTCAAATAAATCGTGCTAGAGTTATAAAATGGAATAATACACGGCCATCGAAAGTGTACCAGAGACTGTCTAATGGCGTTGGGAAATATTCTTGACCTGCTTTTAAATTAAAAACGTGTTTAGCATAGTATATAATATAATCTCAAATGGGTAAATACAAATACACACAAACACCTGGAAGGATATATATGAAAATGTTTGTTTCTTTCTGGGTGGGAGGATTCTAAGAGATTTTTACTTTCCTCTTCCTTTTAATCACTAAACATAATGCACGTGTGTCACTTTGGTAAAAGGAGAAAAAGACAAAATAGAAAATAGTACAATCCTACGTGACCCTTCTTCCATGAAGGCTTTGCTCAGTTCCTTGTCTTTTACTTCTCTGAAGCCCGGGAACACTGTCAGGATGACTCTCTCAAAATGTATTTTCTGCCTCATCTATAGATATCAATGAGCAATTAATTACCTACCATCCTGGCATTGCTCCCTGGGGTCCAGAGCTCACCGTTGTCTCCTTTTTAGTGTCTGTAATGTAGGCGCCTGATCAATATTTGCTGAGCTCCGTATACAGCAAGCATCGACGAGAATGTAATACGAGGCATCTGTAAGGAAGCAGGTACTGGGAGGTGAAATCTTCAATCCTCTGGTAGAATGGGGTGGGCATATTGAGCTTCAAGCAATATGTACGTACCCCAAGTTCTGGCAGCGGGTACTGCTGTGGCAGGAGCATCTCAAGAGGTGGCATTTCTAATCCAAGATTGACATGAGCAGATGTACCTCGAGGTGTCTGCCTCACCCAAGCCACATGCATTGTGTAGGAAGGCTGAAATTTGCCTGTAAGATACAGCCCGCTGAATGGAGCCACACCCAGTGGAATCAGCCTCACAGAGGAAAATCTTACCGTAAGAATAGCTTCAAAGTTGGAACAGCCCCGTTTAGGAAAAATAAGAAATCAACATTTGTGTGGTCCTCTCCTAGTTTTCACAGTGCAAAGTGCATTTCACTCAGCAAGAGTGTAGAATTGTGTGATTTATTAAACGATCCCCTCCCTCTAGGCGCAGAAGTGATGATTTCTGTGGTTAGTGGTGCTGAGCAATTAGCTGAAGAAAGGTGACTTCTGTTCCAGGGTTTCTTCCACCCACGCCAGGTTTTGGGTCCAAGTCTAGGTCTGTGAAGCTTAAAGAAACCCATCAAGAGCCATGTCGTTTGAGCTCTAATTGAGCAACTTTCCCAAGAGCATTACCGGGCTGATGGGCTCGGCAGCCTTTTCTCTTTGTCTAGATTAAAAAACAAAACAAAGGAAAAAAAAAAACAATAAAAAAGAAGGCGGACCGAGTCTGATAAAACGTTTTGGAAAACAGAAAGATATTATTCATGAGTCCTTCCAGCGTCGATCACCATGACGTTTTGTGGCAAGTGTCTCCGATGTCGCACCCTTTTGGCACTCAGACTAGATACTGCTTCCGTGCCTTTTAAAGTAGTAGGATGAGTACAGGAAGATCCAAATAAGTGCAATGATTGCCTAAAATGTCCAACTCAAATGAGGAAAACTGGCTCCTAGCATCCCAAGGAAAAGCTGGAGTTCTTAAAGGAAGGGGAAGGGTCCAGTGAATCCCTGAAACCACACAAACCCACAGGAAGGTCAGTTGGATGTGTCCTGCTCCAGGTACAGATTTCCCAGATTGGTGTTTTGTAGCCTCTCTGCGATGCTTCCAAACAAAGCGAATTGACATGCCAGGGATTACATTCCATACGGAGACCAAGACACGGTTCCTGCCTTCTAGTCTGGTGGGGAAGACACACGAGCTAACATGGCACCTTGTAAATTAATGCTGTTAAGTGCTGTGGTCATGGCGGTCTTGGAAACACCAAGAGTAGGTTTCTGGGACTGGGGGGGGGGGGATCCTTGAGGAAGGGGCATCTATTTTGAGACTTGAAGGATGCGTGCGAACCAAAAGGTGTGGACATTCTGGGGAAGGGTTAGGAAGGGACAGTTTCACAGAAAAGTTTTACAAAAGCCCAGAGACAAGAGACTGTAGCCCATTCTGTTGTTTTGTGAAAGTTTGGGGAAGGGGGTCAAAGATGGGGGGAAGGCAGAAGTCAGGCCGGAGAGGGAGACAGGCCAGATCAAGTGCCTTGAAAAGCAGTGTTCAGGTTCGGAACGAGCCCTGATGGCAGTCGGGGAGATGGAATGTGGCAGAAAGCTGGCAACGGAGCCCACGTGAAAAGACCTGAAGACTGTCTGAGATGAGCAAGATACAAAGCCCACATTAAACAACCCAGGAAAAAGCAAGAGAGCCTGGAAAACAAATCTGAGGCTCAGCTTATTTTCCAACGTGCCCGGTGAAGGTTTGTCCCTCTAGATGTTTCTCAGCTCAGGCACTCAATGAGATACAGTTGTGGGGCTTGTCAAACACTCTACCCAATCACGCCCTTAGTATATCTGCTAAGAGTAGCCGAACAACATTTGGAAAATTTTTACAAATATGTGAAGAATTTGATCGCACGCACGCAAGCACGCACACTCACACAGGCATGCTTTAAGGTGCAGAAGAAGGGAGGTGAAGGTGTAAGGGAGGGTGATTGATTCTTCCACGAGAGTTGCCCCTTATCCAGCACCTTCCAGTTCACACCCATTGACATAGCCCAAAGATGAGTTACCTAATTGCTACCATGTGCAACTCCAACAGGGACTGTGAATTTAAGTACTTGCATGTGTTCCTCCTATGCCTTTTTTCATAGACACAAAGTGTCCAAGATCAGGCCATACCTGACAATTTCCTCTTTGATTCCTGAGGCAAAAGGAAACCTAGCCCATGACCTGGCCAATCTACATGCCAGTGTGACCCGAAAGAAATTGTGAAAGACGCAGAAGCACTTCGGAGTAACCAGCCCCAACGTGGGAATAGCAGAGGAGCGTTGCAGCGATTTTTGTTCAAACATTCAGTAAAAGATGCTTTGGCATTTCTGGGACCACCGGGATGTATAATGTACTTTCCTTTACCATATCTTTTAGGAAGCGGGAACAGAAAAGAGCATTTTCCCCCTGCCTGAACCACAAGATTTCTTCCTGGCTTCCCAAGTCAAGTTTGAAGACCTCACAAAAGACTTGAGGAAACTGAAGAGGCAACTAGAAGGTAACAGGAACTCTTCTGTTGCTATGATAATAGCTAAGGTTTTTAAAGAGTGATTTAAGAGCAGTATCTGCGTGTGGCTCGTGGATCGGAGCTGGTGCCCAGTTCCGCTGTGGAGGTCAGCACACAAGCCCTCCAACCACTGCCGATCTCGGGGCAGCATTTGGAGGTGTGGGGTTTGCATGTCCCTCCCCTTGACTGGTGTTAATTAGTGCTGATTACATCTACATCTTGTTTTCTCTACAAGATATGATTCTAATGATAATAGCACCAACCCTTTATTGAATGCTCACTGTTGTCTCATATAATGCTTATGACCATCCTGATAAGCAGGAACTACGCTAACTTTCTTTTACAAATAGGAAAAGGGAGACTTGGAGAAGTTACGCTCATACAGCCAGTGTGAGGCAGATTGACTGAACTCTAATCAGGTCAATCTGATTAGAACACATGGTTTCTACACAAGCTTCCTAGGCAGCCCCCTCCCTCTCCCTGTCACACACACGTTCCTGTGTGTTTCATTTATACGTACGAGTCTGATGATAATGGCGAGACCTATAGCAAACCTTCCGTTTTAGTTTAATTCACATTTTTAATTATTCAGCACGACACGCTGAAAGCCCCGTTTGGCTTTTTTAAAAGGTGAAACTATGCCTCTCTTGGGCAGGAATTTTCCTTTGGCATTTCTGGAGTCTTGTGTTTTCACTGTGGAGACATCTCCTTGTCCAAGAATATAAATACTTGTGTTGGAGCTTGTATAACTCCAACCGAAGAGCCCTGCAGAGGACGGGGGAGTGTGTTAATGTGGAAACGGAGCCCAGAGTGGAGCTTGAGGAAATGAAGAGCTCGAACCAGGAATATTTTTACACTAAGACATAAAATAAACATTCAAAAAATGTTTATTGTGAAAGAGCGCTCAGAAACCTCAGTCTCGGAGAACAGCTTGGAACCGGGAGCGGGGCGGGGAGGACCTGCTCCCAGTGGCAAGGGAAGCCAATGGTTTCTCCTTCGGGATAAAACTTGCTTAAATAGGGCTAGTGGTTGCAAGTGAATATTTTTACCTTGTAAATTATCTTTAAAGGAACATGTGGATTTTTCCCTCCCTCCCGTTGATGTGGTTGAGAGCGTGAATTCGACCAAATGAATGCTTTGTTCAGGAATGCGATTTGTGAACTTGTGGTTATTCTTTTCCCTGTCCTTAAAAAAAAAAGATAGTTCTATCCTTGTCTAAGATGAGGGACTTGGTTTCTTATTGGAATGAAACAGAGCAAGCCCTCGCGCAGTGTTTCTTCCCTCCCCCTCCAGTGGTGGGGTTAGGGCCCAGGCCAGTCCTCAGGGTGGTGCAGGTGAGCAGTGGTCGCCAGAGCCATGCTTGTCCACTCCCTGGCCTCCCTGCAGGCCCATCCCCTCGTCTCACGGGCCCTTCGACACCTGGGCCTGCCCTCTCCGGTCTTTTCAACCGAAACCGGATCTGCCTGTGATCTCTCCTCTTCTCCTGCCTGCTGCCCCTCGCAGGCGCCCTGGCTCGGCCTCCTTGCTTTGACAGCGCTCCTGCGTGTTTGATGGTAAATAATGAAGGGGTGAGCAGGGTGAATTAGGAGGATAGCAATAGGAAGGGCTTCCCCCAAAGCTCCCCACTTCAGTGTGTCTGATGTTCTCTCGGGAAATCCTAGCTGCCGTTCCAGACCTCTCAGAACGCAGCCGACCCTTCCCCAGGCAGTTGCAAGGGAACACCACACTCTGAGGCTGCCGCACGAAGGCGCACCGAGCTGCCTCGCTGCTTTTTCTCCTCCGTCCTGGGCTTCACCAAAGGATACGGAGGACCATAAAGGCGATGGAGGAGACGGGGACTCCCCCACACACAGTGCATGTTTAAACAAAAATGCCCTGCTAATCTTTAGGGATGCCAGTGTTTTTAACACATGAAAGGTACCTAGTAAATATTTAAAGAAAATACAGGCCGTTGGTTTGCTAATGAATTTCTTTTTCTTCTAAATACCATCTGGCGCGATGGCCAGAGTCGCGGCGGTCCGTTTCATCTCCTGCTCCCATTCGGGTTTCACCTCCCTTTCCATAAGGCCTCGGTGTGAGCCTAGATTGAATGTTTAATTGAAGAGGACATAATTTTCACACATACAGCAAAGATTTGATGAGGCTTTGAGGTTTATTGTAGCCATTAAAATGTCGTGGCTGCTGGCAAAACCCCAGAAAATGTCTAAAGCTAAACCAGATGTGATTAGCAAATTTCAAGAAGTCTCAGGCCCCAGTTCTGCCGGCAGTTGGGGGCCCTTTGGAAGAAATTTGTTTTGAGTAGCATGAACCACACCTTAGCAATAGGACGTGAATTAAACCATGCCTGTTGGCTGTTCAGATGTCAGTGATATAAGTACAGGTTGTCAGTACACATCCTTTGTAGAGACAAGAACTTTGACTAGCAACTTTATGTAGGTAAACACAGCAAGGAATTAAAGATGATAATATCAACTTCCATTTCTTGCATTTATATAATAATCATACAGTATTATTATCTACCAGATGCTTTACGTATATCATTTCCTGTAACCCTTACAATGACCCCATGAAGCAGATATTATTACCGATCTCTCTCCAGAGGAGGAAACTGAAGTACTCATGTAATGTGCCGAGATACTCTGCAGGTGATGACCTAGCCACATTTTAAAACTACATATGACTCTAAGCCATGTACTCATGACATATCCTGCCAGTGGCCCAGAAGTCCCCATACCTTATCAGGGATCAAAACGGGAAGGCATGTAATCAAGGCATGAAGCCTCATAAAGATGCAAATGATAGTGAGAGTCATTGAGCATGCCCGTGAGTGCAAGTGTATGTGCACACGCTCCTGGAACCAAGTACAGAGACCCTTGGGTTGGAGAAAAGTCAGGGGGATACGGGTTATAAAAGTGAATAGACACGTATTACATAAGATTGAGACCTCAGACTTTGGAATCAGATATGTATTTCTTTACTGGTTTGGTGAAAGCAAGATCTTATCAGGTAACATAACCATAGAGTGGATTTATTTTCTCACCTGTGAAATGGGACAGTTATAATACGTGCATCGTAGGAGGTAATGAATGCACTGTGCCTTAGTAAGGAAAGCTGTGATAAAGCTGGCGGGGGGGATGCGTGTCCCTCTTACTGGAAGATGCACAACTTGTGGGAACAGGCTCACAATGTTGATCAGCCAGCTGGCTCTGTTTCTTGAGAATCTAATTTCCGGAGCCCTTGTGGGCTCTTCTCTACATTGTGAAGACAGAACCAAGTTCTTGGTGCTTGGGAACATGTCCCATGTTTTGTTCACTGTTCTACACCCTTAATGAGACAATAATTGATTTCTCTGATACTGTGATGTTATAAGTAATAGTGTGGTGGGGAGGGGGGCAGGCGGAGAATCAAGCAAACAGTAGGAATAATTGCTTTCTTTCATATCCATCAACTTTGCTGGCCAAATTTCTGAAGGTATACTTATCAACCCATGTGTGGTAGGCAGAAGAATGCTCCCAACGATGTCTAAACCCTAATGCCTGGAATCTGTGAAGATGTTACCTTACATGGCAAAAAGGGACTTTGCTGTCATTGAGATGGGGAGATTATCCCACACTAGTCACCTGGGCCTAATCTAATCACATGAATCTGTAACATGAATCTTTAAAAGCTGAGAACTTTCTTTGTCTGCGGTCAGAGGGACCCAGTACAGTAGAACGGTCAGAGAGATGCAGTGTGGCTGGCTTTGGAGATGGAGGAAGTGGACAGTGGACCAAGGAATGCAGGGAGCCTCTAAAGCTGGAGCAGGCAAGGGATGGGTTCTCCCCAGAGCCCCCAGAAGGCGGTGCAGCCTGTCAGCGCCTTGATCTCAGCCCAGTGAGGCCCGTGTTAGACTTCTAACATACGGGAACTACAGGTAATGTATCTGTGCTGTTTTAAGACACTTACGTTTGTGGTAATTGGTTCTAGTAGCAAAAGAAAACAGACACACCAATGGTGTGTTTCTGAGTGTGCCAGTTAATACCAGTCACACACCACTGCTGAGACCGTAGGTGTAGGATTTCCCGAGCACTAGCACTCACCAATACTGCATGAAATGTGAATTCGTGCTTTCTAAAAAAAAAAACTTAAAAAATGAGCCTCTTGTCCAAGAAGCCTGGAAATGTTCTATCCTAAAATTATATCATAGAGATTCACAGTGCACATGAGTTTATTCAAGATTCTGGGAAGTCCTGCAATAAAAAATAAAACAAAATGATTTATCCCTGTATAAAGCAGCATTTCTCAACTTAAAACATGGAACTTTTTTTTTTTCTTTCACTGATTGCTTAGTAATATGTGGCAGAGCATGCATTCTGTGAAATATGGTTGAAGAAATGTAGTTGATGTTACTATCAGATTTTTAATATAAAGACACAACCATTGATTAAATTGTCATTACTGGATGACCTTAACGGGAGGAACTGTGATGAACAATTACAGCCTTTGCCCTTCAATATTGTTCTTAATACTCCCTGGCGACACTGTCCTGACAAGTCTGTTATCCATGTAAACAAACAGAGTGGGTCACATCCTCTGATGTCTTGATGCCTGAAAGCCAAAAGGAATAGCATTAGTGTTACTCAAAATTACTCTAGTGTCAACACTCCCAAACCCACATTAGTTTGACATCATCCTGTAATAGCATTTAATTCTGAAAAATTCATTCTGGCTATGAAAGTAAGAAGGTTAGTTAATTTTTTTGTTGGAAGATGAGACAGGAACTTTTCAGATAGATGTTGAGAAGTCAAAATATTCTGAAAAGTTTAAGGATAAAAATAGCCCTGGCCAAGTAGCTTCAGTTGGTTAGAGAATTGTCCCCATACATGAAGGTTGTGGGTTCGATCCCCAGTCACGGCACATACAAGAATTAACCAGTGAATGCATCAATAAGTGGGACAACAAATCCATGTTTCTCTCTCTCTCTAAAATCAATTTAGAAATTTTTTAAAAAG